TGGGTGTGTGTGTGTGTAACTGGGGATTGAACTCAGGCCCTTGCACTTGCCAGGCAAGTGCTTATTCTACTGAGCTATCTCCTGGCCCCTGAGGACACTACAGTTAGAATATCCTTTTAATCAAAAGTGTTAAGAACCAATGGCTAATGTAGAATGCAGAGCCATGAAGGGAACCAGCTATTTGGAATTTACTTTTGATTCAGAAAGAGAACTCAGGGTTAGAATCTTAGACAAACATGTTCACTGGAAGAAAGTTAGCCTCTTTAAAAAATGGTTCTGGGAAAACTGGTTTTTAATATGCTTAAGACTAAAAATTAGATGCATGTCTATCACCATGCTCTAAACTAACATCAAAATGGATCAAAGTTCTAAAGATTAAAACAGAAACATTGAATCTATTAGAGGAGAAAGTAGGTAGAAATCTTGAAGACATAAGGATAGGCAGGGAGTTCACAAACAAAAACTAAACTGCACAGGAAATACTACTTTAAAGAATCAACAATTGGAATCTCATCTTATTAAAAAGGTTTTGCACATCAAAAGGAATCACCACAGAGTAAAATAAAAACCCACAAATTGGAAAAAAAAGGATAGCTGACTGTCCCTCAGACAGAAGACTTCTATCTAGAACATACAAAGAGTTAAAAAAAAAAAAAAAATCAGGCTCCCAAAATTCAAAGACAGCCCAAAAATGGTCATGATATGAATACACACTTCTCAGATAAAGAAATACAAATGACAAATAAATATATGAAAAAATGTTCAGCATCATTGGTCATTTGACAAATGCAAATTAAAACAACACTGAGATTCCATCTCTTCCCAGAAAGAATGGTTTTTACCAAGAAGCCAGCCAATAACAAATGCTGGAGAGGCTTTGGAGACAAAGGAACCCTTCTCCACCATTGGTGGGAGTGCAGACTGGTACAACCACTGTGGAAATCAGTGTGGAGATTCCTCAAAAAATTAGAACTGGAGGTCCCATTCAACCCAGCTGCTCCTCTTCGGGGTATTTTTGCAAAGGAACTGAAAACACCACACAGCAGCAATGGATGTGCATCCATGCGCATAGCAGCATAATTTGTCAGAGCTAAATCTTGGAAACAAGCAAAATAACCATCAACTGAGAAATGGATTACAAAAAAAAAAAAGATGTAGCATTTTTATACAAGGGAGTATTACACAGCCATACAAAAGATAAGCTTGAGGCTTTCATAGGTAAATGGATGCAACTAGAGACCATATTCACAAGTGAAATAAATCAGACTCACATGGGTAAACTTTGAAAGACACCATAGATACTGTGAAAGGGAAACTGCTCGAAGAAAAGGAACAACTAGGA